CCTATAAATACAATTTACACACTTCATCTAATTTGATTCTGATAAATGATGGAAGATAGACTGAGAAAGGATGAAGAAAAAAAGAAAGATCAAAATGATGCTACATAATAAAGAGTGCAGTATTAAATACACCTACTTTCAGCTTCTTTTTCCCTTAACTGAATACACGCGGCTACAATTGTCTAAAGCTAAAATAGCGGTCACACTGAGAACATGTCAATGTCAGAAGTATGCAAGTGCAAAAATTCTGAGTGGTGGATTGGCAGCCTCTGCTGATTTGGAACGTTGCAAGGAGAAATATACTGTTCTGGATTAGTGGACACTGGAACATTTTTTTTAATCTCTTAAGTAAAAGAAAGGTTAAGAGAACAATTTAAAAAATAAGAAAAAAATAAATGAAAATAGTTATTTGGAATTTACCTATAAAACAACAAAAGTAAAAATCAAAAACAATATAATTGCTTTTTAGCAAGAGACATTATATATTTGTAAATTAAAATTAAAAACAAATAGGCAACAACAAACTAGAGCTTTGAAACTTGACAGAAATAGAAAAGGTATGGAATATGAGGGTCACAGACAAAGCTGGAATGATAGAGAAAAAGAGCAAGAAAGAGAAAGCCAAAGTGCCAGACACAGAGCTGACATAGGTCCTACAAACTCCACTCTAAACTCGTTTTATTTGCAATCTACTAATCCATCAATTGGTCTGCTAAAAAATTTGGAAGTTTCTTTTGATAAATTTAACATTCACTTAAACTTGTAGTCAAAATTTCTCTAAACTGTAGTAATTGAATAGGAGAAAAGCGGTAAAAGAACTTTGTGTTTATGTTTACATTGAATTTCTAAATCTGTCTAGCCCTTTCAGGGAAGCCAATACTATAACACTCCCCCAACTTCAATTCTGAGTCGGCACACATTTTTCATTATTTCTGGAATAGTTTATCTCCCTTTTATCACACAATTGGAATTTCAAAACTTTAAACACCTCCAGTAAAGACAAAGCTGCATTATGATCTATTCCTGTCACTGTCAAAAATATGTGGACCTGCTAAACTCAATCTGAATTATTTAGAATATCCTTAATAAGCAATTCCTAATAAGCAAATAACAGTGTTCCCCCCGCCCCAGATACTCAGGAAATATAAGGACTGAAACAAGAATAAAATGGAGTTTTTAGATGAACCTAGAGAAGTTTATAAAAAGAGAGAGAGAATAAACCAGAGCATTTCTTTTTCTTTTGGTGGAGGAGGGGCACACCTAGCAGTGATCAGTGGCTACTCCCAGCTGCAAGTGCTCAGGGGAGCTTGCGGTGCTCGGGTGCATGCCTCCTGCATGCAAAGCATGCACTCTTGACACAGTGCGCTATCTCTCTGGCCCTGAAGTTATTCAATGTTTGTGATCACCTCTACAGTTGCTTTGGGTTCATTCTGTAACAAATATTTAAGAGGCTACGTAACAAGTAAATATTTAAGAGGCTGAAACTTTACTTATTATGCTTTCCCAGTGAATGCTTTTGAAAGCGGATTTACAAACTTTTTTGATTTTTGGTACTTTAACTTGGGGAGGTGGTGCACACAAAGACATGTACAGTCTGTTGTACTTCATGTCCTGTATTACATTATCTCAGTTGTCATATACTTCTTATAACAACAACAACGACAAAAAGTGCACCCAGTCCCCAATTACTTCTTACATTCTGATCCTCTATTAAGAGAAAAGCTACAAATAAAAATGGGGAAAACTGATTTCAGCTTTTCTAGATGTGAGTAGGCAGGTAATAATTTAAGATTCTTGAATAAATTAGGAGATTATACAAGCACATGGGAATTAAATATCTTTATCTCATTTCTCAAGTTCAAATCTTTTAATTTGTTTATAAATTTAGGAGGTCCCAAACTAAAGAATAAGATTTTCGAAAGATTAAGTCATGGTTGAAAAAAGTTATTCTAAAATATTTGATTAGTATCATCAAGCTAAATATTAATCTAATTTTAAAACATTAAAACAGCATTAAAAGGAATGAAATATCTAATATAGGATTTTTGACTATACCACTTAAATGTCAAAATGTTGTAACACCTAAAAACTATTTATAAAATGCTAATTAATATAGTTATTACATGATTTACAATATCTCTTGCAAAGGTACTGTGAATCTAAAGTGAAAAATTCAATTAAAGAAATCTTAAGCATCATTCACCAAATAAACTGGATTAAGACTTCACTTTTGAAGGACTTGTATATTAAAAAAATTGGGGGGGGGGGGAATCATACTGGCTGTGCTCAGGGCTTACTCCTTGCTTTGTACTCAGGGACAACTACTGGTAGGGCTCAGGGGACCATATGAAATGCTGGTGACTGATCCCAGGCTGGTCAAATGCAAGGCAGGTGCCCCACTTACTATATTATTTGGTCCAGCCCCCAAATTATTTTTCCTTTTAAAGACACAATTTGCATTTCTTGCTTGCATGTTGAAGATAATGATGAATTTACTTAGAAGTTTGTTTTAAAATTCATGAATATTACTGGATCTTATTAAAATTTTATGTAAATATTAAACATTTCAAGTGTAAAAATGGAATACTGCAAGAGTGTTATTAATTTTTAACCCTCTGGAGCACTAAAATTAGTCTCTTTATGTGGTAATCAAAAATATTCACCAAGTTGAATTATTTATTATCAGCAATTAAATTTGTGCTAATTAACTTTTTGGACATTTCAGTAATTCAAGAACTTTGCAACATAAGGACAAATAGTTAAAATCAGAGTTAAAAACTCAGATTCATGATAGCAATAGTGAACACAAGCTTCTACTTCTCCCTCAAATTGTTTTTCTGTTCCCTTAATAGTCAGGCTGGGCATATTACTTTCCAGTTTCTCTTATAAACAATGAAACGAAGAGTGGGGACTGTAAAGAAGTTAGGGTTATTAAATAACTTTAAATTGAGATAGAAAAAAAAATCTTTGAACTCTGTAACATGACCTCAGAAAATCTACTCAGTTAATACCATTATAAAACATAACCTATTTGACATTTTGACTACTAGCTGAAAGTTGTATTTACTTGTGCAATGACCAAGCATAACTAGAATTAGCCCTAACACAATAGCAACAGCCATGTGCAGTATAAACATGGGTTTAAATCCCCAAGTTTCTTCATAATACGCATGACCTAACCTAGGTAAACCAGACAAAGCACTTCACTTCTGTTATGCAGTTTCTCCATTCATAAAAATAATGATATTTAATTTTTAAAAATGGTAATAAAACGACCCTGATTTATTACGTTTCACTGGACACAAATGAGGTAATAAGTAGAAGCTAATTAAAAGCTATGTAAAAAAAAAAAAATTAAGTGTCTTTATTAACACATCAAAGCCTCATTTTGCTTTCATTTTTAATAAAGTATAAATTTTTAAAATCCTTTTAAATCCTTTTTTGGGTCTTAGTATGAAGAATTTATATATCATTCTCCAACTTGTTATATAAGTTATTACTTCTTGCCTTTGGACTTTTGAAAAATCTTTCATTGAAAAAAAAAGTCCTTACCTCTGCTTAATGAATGGCAAGGCACTGATGTAAAAAACTTCCTCAGTTAATTTCAAATAGTGTACCTGTAATGATGGTTGACCTCTCCTAATTTAGTAACTAATTTGTAATGAGCAAATCCATTTTTTTCATCTGTTGATAAGGTGGTAGATTATTAGTGTGACTAACTTACCTGATGAAGAAATGTCACCTTTCTAGAAGGTGAAACATTATTCAAGTTCAGAGAAACTTTCCCTACACTCTACTCAATACCCTTTAAAAATACTATATTGCTAAATAGGGTCACTATTACCTGTAAGATATACTAATTGTACTCTTTTGAGAGGTATGAGACAGATTTAAATATGACTTATGTCCTTATTTAACAGAGAAGTTCAAAAAGAGCAAACCAGAAACACAGGCTTGAAAAGAGTAAAGAAAAGGTTCTATATCTGCTTATTTAAGAATGCATCTTTAAAAATTTTTCTCCATTTAAAAAATCTATTTAAATTAATATTGGAAAAATGTACATAATCACTAAGGAAATCCATCACTAACTTTAGAAAACTAAAAATGTCACAAGTAGTATTTTTTGTATTTTATATACAATAAGGCATTAGATATAGAAAGATGATTTGTCACTAATAAAATTTTTCCAAACTACATTTAATATTTTTTATAAAATAACTGACAAGACACACACTACTACCTGTATTGTTTCATAGTATGCAATATGTATTGCCCTAAGTTTCTGTGACTTGACTTTTTAAATATCTAAAAATGCCAAAATAGCTGAGAAACATTTTTCCTTTTTTTCTTCATTTAAAGGTATATTACATATAGGAAGTTGATTTTGTTAGAAAATGACTATATAAAGTAAGTAGTCTGAGATACCCATTTTACTTCAGGCAGCAGATATAAGGCAATGGAAACAATAGGCTGTCTGTGGTATAAAACCACTGTAATTTGAATCCTCAATAATCCTCTAAATTCTACATAGTAAGTAAAATATGGATGGGAAAGGACTTTGATTTCCCAAATTATTCGGTATATTGTAATTTGATAAAAGGCAAGTTTACCTATTCTTTGGTTTTAATCTTGAAATGAGCATATTTAAATCAAACTCTGGTGCACTAGAGAACTGCTGATGAAATAGTTACTGTTAAAAAAAATTTTATTTCCTTATATGGCTTTGCAAACAATTTTTTAAAACTATCTTGATATTGTCAGTTTTCAAGCTTTCACTATTATTTTAAAAATCTAGTCATTTTCATACACAGGTATGATAAAACATACAATTAATTTTCTTTTAAATTTAGCATCTCACTAAGTGTGGAATAAATAACACCTTTAAATTTTTAAGTCAAAATATACAATTTTTAAATGGATTTCCTTTGTGATATGCAGAACACCTGTAATTAAAGTTTCCAAATCTTTAACAATCATAAAATAAAGAGATTGATAATTACCATGTTGAAATAAGATCGAATTTTGACTCCTCTTGCGAGATCCCACACAATAACATTTCCATCATGACCAGCAGAAAAGAGAACTCTTGGATCAAATGGATGTGGCTCAAGAACAAATACCTCATCTTCATGACCCTGAAATATTTTTGAATTGCAAAATTAGAAATAAATAAAAAAAAAATAAATTCAATCATACACCAAGATGGTTACATTTCGAGAATGAGTTTCTATTAAGTTATTAAGTGGTAAAATGCCTTTAGATGTATTTATACAACAACGAAACTGAATTATTATTTGGTGAAACCTAAGACTACTTGTAGTCCAACCTTCTACAATCAAGCAAGAATTTCTATTTTAAAGCTAAATTTGTTTTATCTACATTTTAAAATTATTTTCTGGGTCAAAGAGATAGTACAGTGAATAAGATGCTTGCTCTGTCTTGCATGCAGTCGACCAAGACTGAATGAAGCGCTGGTATCACCAGGTGTGATCCTTGAGCACAGAACCAAGAGTGATCCCTGAGCAATGGCAAGGTGTGGCTAGTTCATCTAACTAATTACTATCGGTTAAAATATCTCTCATTCTATAGTAAGTTTTGCTTATACATTAAAATAACCAGTGTTTTTTTCCTCACCATCAGGACATGAATTAGTTGACCGGTATAAGAATTCCAAACTTTCAGAGTCATGTTATTAACTGCAGTGATAACTGTATTGTCATGTCGATCCCATGCTACCATTGTGACTTTCATTTTTGTGATCTTATCTTCTATTCCTTGAAGGTTTTGGCTGAAAATGGAGGCAGTAATTGTTTACTGGCATTGACAAAAACCAAAATGTATTTTCTTTTAATTTAGGCTTATGTTCATTAACATGAAAAACGATACTTAACAGTCATCAAGAACAGTATGAAACAACCAAAAAAATTTTAGCAAAAGCCATATCAAGAGGGAGAAATATCCAGGATTCAGATATTCCCAGGCCACTGGGATAAATATCACTATCTGGATCAAGACTGTACAATGCTGCCCACTCTTCATCTTTTCCTGTTGCTTTTTATGCTCTCATCACTGGTCTGCTTTCCCAACAGAGAAAATTACAAATAAATATAAATGAATAATATTATAAACTACCCAAAGCAGAACAAGTTATAATCTAAAGGCTGGAAAAATGACTAGCTGCACCACATTAATATTCAGATATATAAAACATTTTACATTGCACTTTCTGGAAAAACTAATAAAACTGCCAAAAAATACTGTTGTATTATCAGACCCTTGACAAAACTAAACTAGGAAAAAAGTACACTTTAGGGTCCAGAGATTTAGAACAGGAGGTTAAGGTGCTTGCCATGCATGTATCTGTTTGATCTATCACCAAATATGGTTACAGCTACCACCATCAGGAGGTCCCTGAGCACAAAGCCAGGAGTAAATCGTAAGCACAGCCAGGAGTGGCTTAAATCCGGAACTCCTCGCCCAAAAGAAGTACACTTTAAAAATGCATTTTTAATTTATGTAATGAGCTTGATCTTTTATCTTACCCTGCTGGACGAGTAGCCATATCCAACAAAATGCTCTTCCATTCTCTTCGTTTAAAATGCCAAATACGTGCAGTTCCGTCACGACTCCCACTTACAAACCTGTATTAAAGAGTTCAACCACACACCTCAATAAAAAAAATCATACAACTTCACTAAACATATTTTCCTAGAATTTTTTACATACAAAAAAAAGGAGAGCACTCATCATTTATTTACACATTACTGTAAGAGAGCTTTCTCTATTAAATATTCTCAAGAAATCTAAGAATTTCGAATTTTGAGATACGGATTTCTAAAACTTAGGAAAAAAGCTCAAATGTGAAAGCCAGTTCTCAAAACTAAAATTGGGCAGTGATTTAGACCACTTATTTTACTCTCTAACTGGACAATTAAGGTCTTGATTACCAGGAAGAACGATGATTAGACAAGCAAATTAAATGTTTCCTAACTGAAAAATACAGATTTCCTATCAATATTAAAACTTGAATTTCTAAAGTGTCTAGAAATATAGCTTTCATTAAAAAAAAAAGGAAACTTTAGATGCCATCTAGTAAGTTTATCATCAATAAATAGCTTTGCTCCAAAAGCACATTGTGATACATGTCCAATGTATCTACTTAAAGTTTCCTTGCACTCTGCTATGTATAGGTATACGTTAGGTAGATAAAGTTCATGTTGTTATTATTTTTATACTAGGTGAGATCTGGCTATACCTCACAACGCTTTGGGTATTTTTCTTGCTCTAAGTACAAATAAGTACATATCATACTAATAGTGACCAAATAAACTAACATTAGAAAATAAAAGGATATGTCTTGTCCATGCCAGGGTTATTATTAGGTATAATATAATCAAAAATCTTAACTTGGGTGACAAAATTGAATAGATTCTAATTAAAACTTTACTACTAGAATCGTATTTATGAATTAAAAAACTGGAATTCTATAAAACAGTATTTTACCTGTTACTTGTGTTGGAAAACTGGATACTGTCAACTTTGTCCTACAGAAAGAAAAAAAGGATGATTCTGAATACAAACTGTTAGACTTAAATTGTACTCCTCTTCTAACTCTTTTCACTAATACTTACAGTATGAAATTCCAATTCTGATATTTTTTCTGGTTGACCTGCACCAAAAAAATAAACCCTAATAATATGATCTGTGCTTCCTGTGGCCAGAAACATTCCACCTGAGGAAAAATAGTGAACATTTATTAGATAAAATTTCAAATTACATAAAAATTAGGTGACAAAAATGCAAGCATCATTACACAGCATGTTATGAGCAGAATATACACTATTTTATTGTAGTACTATTATTTATCTCCAGTCTATGTATCTAACCTGATTTATTAGAAGGATTAAATTTTCAGTATTTAAAGAGAAACAAAGTTTTCCTTTGGAACCCCTTTATTGAGTGATCAGATAATTGTCTAATAATGAATCAAACTTCCTGGAAATCAAGACTTTAACTGCTGAAATCCCTCTTGTGTTCTATTTTCACCAGTTAATATTCTATCAAACTTTCAAAGTATAACTCTCCTAAGTAAACTGCCCATACAAACTGCAATCAAAAGGGATTGTTCTCCTTGGAACTGGACAGTAATGAGACTGTCTTGCACTTTCATTTCACCTTATATGCAATTTATTCTCTCACTCTGGAATAAATACCCTACCAAGTCTTTTTTTTCCCCCAATGTAGGAGTACTGCCTACATTGGAAAAAAATTTACTCAGCCACTTATTAGGCTGATTGAATTTCTCCCCCAAGTCTTAAATAATATGCATTCAAAATATTTTTAATGCACACATAGGTGACCCTATTTGTGTTAAATCTGGAAATAAAGCAGCTTCTCCAGCAGTTGTAGAAATAATGAAATTAGAAATTAAGAATGTTGGGTATTATGAGAAAAATAGATTAATGTCACTAGTTAAATTATTCTCAGGTAGGAACTATTGTTAGCCACAATTAGGAAATGAAAAAATAAGAGTAAAACTAAAATAAATTTGGCAGAAACTGGTATTAGAATCACTGAATATTAAATCTAATTATTGTCTCAATTCACCTGTACTCTCTACATCGTCTTTTAAAAACTCTTAATATCATGAAAATGTTATGAATTAAAAAATTGGAATTCTATAAAACAGTATTTTACCTGCATTACCTTAAACACAATCTGAGTATTTGCGTTACTACACACATAATTAACAAAGAGCAAACAATTTGGTTTGGAGCAGAGTAAAAAGGACATATAAAATCCATTTTATTTATGAACCACCCCCAATTTATGCAATTATGCAACAGATTTACACAATACTTTTATTTCAGAGGGGCATCGTAGCGCTGTAGCACTGTCCTCCCATTGTTCATCGATTTGCTCAAGTGGACACCAGTAACGTCTCTATTGTGAGACTTGTTACTGTTTTTGGCATATCGAGTATGTCACAGGGAGCTTGCCAGGCTCTGCTGTGCAGGCCAGATACTCTCAGTAGCTTGCCAGGCGCTCCAAGAGGGAAGAACAAATCAAACCTAGGTCGGGCACATGCAAGGCAAATGCCCTACCCGCTGTGCTACTGCCCCAGCCCGGGGGAGGGGGCAACTAGTCCAAGATTAATGATTTAGCAGAGTCAATTTTTAAACTATTCTCTCTTATCAGAACATAACTGTAATAACTTATTAGTCATGTGAGTATATAAATTAAATTCTGGGAAAGTTCAAATGTTTCTCAATCAATTTATGATCATTCCCTGGGGTTTATATAAGACTGAAATTTATGTCACAACAGTAAATATTTTAGAACTTTTTACTTGTTCCATTTAAAGCTTTTTAATGTACAACATAAAATGGAAGACTAAAAAGAATTAAAGTCTTACCAGCACTGAAAGAAGAACAGATCATTTGAACTCCAGGTCGAGGGCGCTCTGTAAATTTTGTAGGTCTTGGACTACAATACAAAAAGCAAACCTGACAATTAAAAATATCCTAAATAGACTAGAAACACCAAAACTAAACTGTTCAAAGTAATTACAGAAGGACAAAATTAATTAAGAAGCAACAGATGGCTCCTTTCCTAAAAACAAGCTGAAATGGTGTATCATGACTAGCCTATCTTTTGGAAACTCTAAATAGGTATTTCCCAGTCCCTGATTATACAATTCCTACAGTACATAATCCCACTTATTGTTTTTAGTGTTATACCATACATGGTAAGACTTCTAATCATATTAGAAATATTCACATAGTAAAATAGCAAAGCACACATACATAAGGCAAATTACTGCACACCATCAATAACTAAACAATGGTGTAATCAACAATGGTGTCATACAACACCCTCTGTGTGCCTCCTAATGAGAAAATGTAAGCTTTTAAGACTACGAAATAAAATTGATACCATGTGTTAAAGATCTGAATATGGTTTGAATCTTATTTCAACTATAAAGTTCATCCAAAAGTGTTGTGCACAAAACTACAAGTCACACTTAAATTAATTATGTTACAGATGGTATGCCTTCCATTACTACTACTAACATAAAATATTTAATATAAATGAGCCATAGAGAAGACTTAATTTGATTTCATAACACTTTAATAGCCAACATTATTTTCACAATTACCAGTTATATACTACTGTATTTAAAACCTACTCCCTAATATACATTTTGACCTACCCTTTCTGACAATAATGAAAAAGCTCCCAGAAATAAGAGTCTACAATGGAGAGTTTAATGCATAATTTTCAGAAGACATAGCAATATAGTTTCACTCCTGTAATCATTTATGTTTTATTTATTTTACTATTTTTCTTATTGACTGAGGTTCTGTGATTTCAGTCTTGTAATTATTTAGAGGAAAGAGAGTACTACTGACCAGGTATGTATTTTAAGCAGCAATAACGTTTTCTTGGGAACAGAGATATAATACAGCAGGGAAGGCACTTTGCCTTGCACACAGCTGACCCGGGTTCAATGCCTGGTATCACAAATGGTCCCTAGAGCACTGCCAGGAGTGAACCATAACAGAGAGCCAGGAGTGAGCTCTGAGCACTGCTGGGTGTGGTTCTCCTCACCACAAAAAATATATATATATTTCTTTTTTAATAACACAGAGTACCTGCTTAGTAAAAGTAAAAAAAAAAGTGTAAAGATATTTGTAAAAATTGACAAGAGCTTAGTATTCAGATATAGCTGAAAATGATAGGATTTTTTTTTTTTTTTGGTGGGGGAGGAAGTACACATGGTGATGTCCAGGACTTACTCCTTGTTCTCCACTTAGGGATCACACCTGGCAGTGCTCTGGGGACTTTATGGGGTTACTGGGGATTGAACCCAGGTCAGCTATGTGCCAGACAAGCGCTTCACTCACTGAACTATCTATACGGCTTCAAAAATTATAGTTTAGAAACACAAGAGCTACTTAAGAGTTCCTTTTTTCCCCTCCCAGTGGAGCAAGATAATACCTTTTATGTGCAAATAAAGAAAGGAAACCAGTTGTACCAAAGTGTACACTGAAGGAAAAATTACCCTCATTTTTATGCCTGACTTTTGCTTAAAAACTTTAAAAGAAAGCTGTAATAATAGAGAAAATTATTTATTTACTAAAGAATGAAAAGCCCCAAATAGAAAAATTTCTGTAAAGTATGGAACCCACTAAAACATACTTTAATGACTAAAATTACTAAAAATAATTTTTTTTGGGGGGGTCACACCTGGCAATGCACAGGGGTTACTCCTGGCTCTGCACTCAGGAATTACCCCTGGTGATGCTCAGGGGACCATATGGGATGCTGGGAATCGAACCCAGGTTGGCCACGTGCAAGGTAAACGCCTGACCCACTGTGCTACTGCTCAAGCCCCTAAAAATAATTTTTAAAAAAACAAAAATCATAAAGCCCCATACTTATATTTACATTAAAAATTGTGCAAAATATTAGTGTGTGTAGTGTTAATTCTATGTACTGGTTTTTGAAAAATCATTTAGATGTAGTAACTTACTTCTCAAGAACCCAATAAATATTTTTAACAAAATAATTTGCTAATGAGTTTAATTTTGTAAAACAATTCTATGCTAGTTAAAAAATTACTAATCACTTTTTTCCCCTGAGAAAACAAGACAGAAAAAGGTATTCTAATCAGATCCATACACACAAGTGAAAAATACTCAAAAGAGCAATTATTGTTACTGTTTATGCAAAGTAGCAAAATGTTTCGATTTTTATCTAGAAAGTCTTTACTATTTTGAATATTCAAAAAGCATATAAAAAACTAGTGGTTCAATTTAAAGAACATGCCTTTCAGCATAAAATCTGGCCTCTATACTTGCAAAACAAAAATCAGAATGCAACTGAAGTGAAATTAATTTACTTTCTCCAAAGAACCATGTTTCTAATTACAATAGATTTTAATAATTTTATAATATTACTTAAGATGGTACAATGACTTAAAATGCCCCAAAGTGAGGGATCATTCAGAAATGACTGTAAGTATTAAGCACACAAAGATTCCTTGTATTACAAAGAATTACCTAGGTACCACTATCTTAAAATGATATAAATGTCTAAAAATTATTTTCTTAAGTAATTCAACTTGAATTAAAGTGAGAGGTCACTATTAAAATATACCCTCTAGTCTAAATTATAACGTAAGAGCACAGAGATGGTCATTTCAAAACTAAAATCATCACATGCACGTAGCTCTTCATAACCTGTTAATGGGATGAATCCAGCACCACTCCTCCCACTACATTCATTTGAATGTTCACATAGTATAGACAGCAGAGAAGTTAGTCCTGAACTTGCTAATTCTTAAAAGCCTTTAAACTATGGTAACATTTGAACCTTGCCTTCTCAATCCAAAGACAGTATACACCTGCCAGCTTATGCTGATAAACCAAGATGCTGATTTTGGTGAAAGCACAAACGTAAGATTCTAATATGGGGCATAAGAGATGGAGCATAGCTACCCATACACACGTTAGCAAAAATGTAATGGTTCCACTTTCCTGAACTACCCCGATCTATTACATACCTTAAAGTGTGTATATGTAAGGCAAAAATAATTATAAGAGTAACCATTAAATAAATTTACTCTATAAAAGAGGAACTGACTTTATTTTAAGGGTTCCTGCATCCCAGAGCCAAAAACAAATAGTGCCATCTGCTCCAGTAGAGGATAGGTATCTCTTTGAGCCACTGCACAATGGTGAGAACTGAAAAACAAAAACATTATCTTACAAGATGAATTACACAGTCCAAATAATAAAATCGTTTTTGACCATATAAACAGTAATTAATATTACCAGAAAACAACCTGCAAGGACTTTCGTAACTACCTTAAGTCATATAGTTATAAAGAAATTTTTTTCTATTATAGTTGATTGCACAAATAAATTATCAAAGGAACTTCTTAAAAGTTAACTTTAAATTATAATTGTAAAGGACTTTACAAAGATGGAAACAATTACCTGAAGTGAAGTTATAGATGCACTGTGGCCCTGAAGAACAGCCAAAGGCGCACATGTTCGAAGACACCACACTCTGATCATTTTATCACAACTTCCAGCTGCGATCATGGTATTCTCATAGTTCACTGCCATGTCTGATATTTCGGCAGCATGTCCTCTTAAAGTAGCTAATAATCTCCCATCATCTGTTGCCCAGATTTTTACAAGACAGTCATCAGAACCCTTAAAATAAAAATGGGCATTAAAATGAACTATAAATGCTACCTTGAATTCTGAACATAAATAAGGAAATCTTATCTGTTTTTGCCCACTTTCAAGTACATCTATACACATACGTCTATATTTTCCTCTTGTGTGGAGCACACCAGTGGTGTTCAGGCTGGAAAGAACAGGCACCAGGGTCACACATGACAATGCTCGGTGGGTTGTGAGTGCAAGATACTCAACCACTGAAGCCACACAGCTAGCCATCAACATATTTATAAATAATAAAGGTATTAAATATTTATGAGAAACAGCCTTGTTCCTGACGCTCCATTTGCTCTCAACGGAACCACCATCTCCGAATGCAACAGTTATATATACCTAGGTCAAGAAATCAACATGATGAATGACCTGGCACCTGAGTTGTGCAGGAGGAAGAGAGCGGCTTGGAACGCCTTCAAGAGCGTTGAAGAAATAACTAAGAGGACAAAGAACCTCCAGCTACGAGCACATCTCTTCAATTCCACTGTTCTTCCTGCATTAACATACGCCTCAGAGACCTGGACCCTACGAAAACAGGATGAGAACGCTATTCGGGTCTCTCAAAGAGGAATCGAAAGAGCTATGCTTGGAATATCACAATTCACTCAAATGAGAGATAGAATCCGGAGTTCTGATCTTCGTCAAACGCTCAAGAATCAGGGACGCTGTCTCATTTGCCAAGACATCAAAAATCAGATAGGCTGGACACGTAATGAGGTTTACAGACAACCGCTGGACTAGAGCCATTACTGACTGGGTTCCACGGGACGTCAAAAGATTGCATGGACGCCCACCTACAAGATGGTCAGACTTCTTCGTCAAGACCCTGAAAGATCGGTTTGAGGCTCTGCATGTTCCTAGAACAAACAGATGCCATTGGGCTATGCTAGCACGCAACCGGGATGAATGGAGATGTTACTGGCACCCGCTCGAGTAAATCGATGATTAACGGGGATTAAGTGATTATTTAAAATTTTCTTCTGACAATATAAAATTATTTATTATAAATATGACTGTGGGGTCAGAGAGACCAGTACTGGAGTTAAAGGGCATTCCACACATACAGCTTAATCCTATCTGATACCACACTGATACCACACTGCCCCTGAGCATTGCCAGGTGTGACTCTCGAGGGCCCAGAGCACCATCAAGATGGTCTAGGGAATCCCTTGCACTTTGGAGCCATGGCAGCACTGCGTTCTTGTCCCTCACACTGAGCAGGAGCCACTCTCAGAAAAACAGAACTACATATAGCTGTGCCCACCGTCCAACTGGTGATCCAAAATATCTGCAGTAACTAATATTTACCTGTGGCCCCTTACTTACAGACCATCATTTGGAATACTGTAAAATTTTTTAAATTTTAAATAACAAACCGTAACCGCAAAACTAAATGTTTCCAATAACTAATCCTATCTCCTTTTTTTGTGCTGTTACATAAAAATGGAAACCCAGGTAATGGTGCGGTGGCAAAAGCATCCACCTTACAAGGATGAGGTCATGAGTTCTATCCCTGATGTTGTCCACATATGCCAAGTGTGGTACTGGCAACTGTTTAGAATTCCTGGGACTGCAACCGAATGTTTGACCTCTTAAGTATTGCAGCCAGATATGTGCAAACATGGAAACTACAATGTAGCAACCGCTGGCAAATACCATGTTCTTAGCACAAATTAAAGACATGTGAGCACTGTAGCCAGGAATGCAACCCAGGAGTGTGAACACCCAGAAAACTTGTGCATGTGCAACTAGAAGTATGTGACCCAGCCAACTCTATCGGCCACCTGTGTAAGTACTAAATCCAGATATACCACACTCCCAAGTGGATATACAACCCCCGACAAGCACCACAACCAAATGCCCAGCCATGGCAACAATAGAAGAGAAGGAAAGGGAAAAAATTAAATTCAGAAAATAAAATTAAGTTAATTTGGGGTATTTTCTGTTGAGCAGCTAAAACTGTAACTATGAGTACCCAATCACTGATCTTCAAGCTAATCATATTACAAAACCACCAAAAATCAGCCATAAAAATTAGTTAATTTATAAAGTCAATAAAATAGAACAAATTACTTATTTACTCTTCTACAATAACATGCAGAAAATATCTATAAAGAATAAACTTTCCTGTGAACTTATATTTACAAATAAGCAGTTCAATTTTATATATCCTTAGTACAGCACAGAACTTATTTCATTTTCTCTTATTTCATTTTCTTTATTTTACAGCTGAAAGTCTACCACTGTCTATCCTATCTGACAATCTTCTTGATCCAAAACACTAATACTTTTGCTATACTTTCTAGTCATTCAATAAAGTCCAAGTAGGAAACAAATACATGCAATGCAAACAGAATGCAAATGACATAACAAATCGCTTTTACAAACAAAAACAAAATAAACTGGGGTCAGAGTGATGGTACAGTGGTGCCTGATATGCATACAGCCAACCTGGTTTTGATACCCAACAGCCCATTATGGTACCTCAGGCACTGCAGAAGTGATCCCTGAGTACCATCAGAGGGAGGGAGGAAGGGAAGAAAAGAAGAGAGGAAGGAAGAAGAGGAGAGGGAGGGAGAGAGGGAGGGAGGGAGGGATGACCCGCCCACTTACAGATCATAAATTACTCAGGGTATCTACTATGAAGGTAATTCGTACAGACATTTATCTGTTTCATAATGACACAAGATATAACATATATAAACACACAGTACTTCAAGATCAGGAAAAATGCTACACCCTGAATCAAACTGCCAATGTGATATAGAGAACTCAAGTAACCACTTTTTTTTATTGAGTTTTTTTGGGGGGCAAGGGCAGGGAAGAGGGGAGACATCTCTTAAGTAGTGGTCAGGGGACTCAAAGACCACTTCTAGCAATATTTGGCTCCGCAATACAGTGCTGCTTGGGCACAGTAGCACACCTGGCAGCTCTGTGGGGTGGAGGTTTTGAAAGGGGATAATACAGTGTTGGTAACAGAATTTGCTGCGTGGACATGAAAGGCTCCAGTCCTTCGCTCTGTCTTTCCAGCACCTGACTGAGATCTGCGGCAAATTAAATGGACTAATAAAGCTTGTTAGTCTTTATCCATTTTGAATAATTAATTTTCAAATTTGACACACATATACATAATCTCGCATATCTGTAAAAGGCGTTTAACAGAATGGATGATCTCTAAGATTTCCTTCACCTTTAAAATTTAATTATTCAAGGACCAGACTGATAGTACAGTGGGTAGGGAACTTGACTTGCATGCAGCTGACGGAGGTTTGATCTCTGGTACCATGTGTAAACTCACGAAAGGGGCACAGCACACAGCGGTAGTGGCTCTATCTCTCCCGCCGCCCGCGTTCGGTAGTCTCACCCTTCTCCCAACCCGGGGAGGTCAATGGCGATGGTCAGGCAGAGGAAGGAAACGAGGGCCAGGCTAGTTGGTATTAGTCACAGTTTATTCCTATCCTCTCTCCATCTACACCAGTCTCCCTTCTCTTCCTCTGCTCCCTTCTTCCTCCCCCATGCTACTTCATTCTCCTTCTCCATCCCCCTTCATCCTCCTTCTCATCCTTCTGATCCCCTTAATTCCAATTAAATCCTAAATTACAAAGCATAATGTTAACGTCTTCCTGTATCTATACAAAAAGGATATTGCTTTAAGGTAAAATGTTCATAAGGCATAAGGAGAGGAGAAAGGCAATATTTCACTCATACATATAAAATCATAGATTTCTGAGGAATCTAACCTTACAAATTAACAGAGTCTGATTAGGGGGAAAGCTGATTAACTAGGTGGGGAGAAGAGCATAGGGAAGACTGCTTACAGATAAACACAATGGAATGGAAGTGCCTCAGGAGCACTGTGGTGGGTGTAACCAGAATAAAGCTAAGCTTCTTGTGGAAGAAGGACAAAGCAATGTTATCCTACAGTACCATACATAGTATCCCAGCCCACCAAAAGAGTAAGCCTTGAGCATAGCCGGGTAGGGCCCCAAAACCAAAATTTTGATTGTTTGTGCATTCACTTATCCATCTATTTTGTGATTATGTGCCAGACACCCAAGATACAAAGAAACAAAATTCCTGTCCTTATGAAACAAAGCAGAAGAGTATAAAAGCAGTATGTCCCAAGTGCTATCCTACCAGTCATCAGAGCTCCAAGCAAGAAAGCAGTTTGGTTTTATTAAATGTTGAAAGATTCTGGAAAGGAATGCAAGACTCACAATGTCTGGGCTAGAGCTTTATGTATAGAGAGGTAATCACGAATCACGACCAACTGTTATTCATCGATTGCCTCGAGCAGGCCCCAGTAACGTCTCCTTCATCCTAGCCCTGAGATTATATTCAAGGCTCTTTAGGAGAATGAGACCCATCATTGTTACTGGTATTTGGCATATTGGGTATGCCACGGGGAGTTTGCCAGACTCTGCCGAGTAGTAAGATAATGAGAGAGGTAATAAGATACAGTAACTTAGTATGCATAGGCAAATGCCCAGGGTAATGATATAACATGATCATAAATGTTTGACCTTGGGCAAATTGTTCATGTTTACTGTGCCTTGTTTTCACCTCTATTTCTATCACAGTGTTACTATAAAAAAACAAGTAAACCAAAATGTAAGGCAGATTAAGCCAAGTTCCTTTCTATATGCATACCTTAAATGTTAGTAAGATCAGTAATAAACCAAAAATAAACCAAAAAGTATATAAAACTTATCTTTCAAGCATGCTTAAAAAAAAGAATTATGGACAAGGGGCAGGAACACTGCTCAGTGGGAAAGCACATACCATGCAAGTATGAAGTCTGGGGTTGCAACCCGGGCACATCCCTTGTACCTCTGAAGAATTACAGACATTTGTGGTGGAAACATCATAAATGAGAAAGGGATGCGAGATCAACCACACAGGAATGATGGGCTGGCCTTGCCAGAAGGAATACAAAAACTTCTAATGTGAGGAGATTCAGAAGAGTTCTAACAGAA